ATGAAATATTTCATTAAATCATCAAAAATGATATTAAATTATATCTATACAGTTGAAAAGACCAGTACAAGCATTTCATTTGCTCAAACATTAACGTGTTCAATAACACAAAGCCTTCACATCATGACTCTGCTATGCTTTCCTGTATTTCTGATCAGTTTTCCTGTGTGATTATTTTCCTGTTTGAAGGGATTTGAAGTTTCAGCGAGGAAACAGGGTCAACACAAAATGAGGATCTGGCTGAAAATTTCCTCCAGTGGCTTAAAGATTTTGGATGAGCGGACCGGGGTGAGTCAGCCAGTTCAGCAGCTACGTAACAACAGTAGCTTTTCCTGTGAGCTTTTCCTCCTCACAGTTTGATCAAAAGTTCTCACAGGCCATTTGGACCGATATTGATATCCGATATTAATATCACTGTTATGGCTGATAACCGATATTTACCGATATTATGTATATCTCACTACAGTTTTGACACGTTTGGGGGAAAAAACCTGACAAGAAACAGATAAAATAAATATCAGTTGTATGTGTTGAACCAGTTTTATTTATCAACATGTCAAAAAATGACTAATGTCAGCCAATAATATATGGTCCCGATAATATTGTGCATTCCTTTAAAATTGTACAAATTTATTCTCTGTTATGAAAACAGAATTTTGGGTCACTTTCTTTCAAAATGCTTGCTACATTTAGCTGTTTAATAAATTAAATAAAAGCTGAGTAGAGCAAAGTCAGAATTTCGGTAAGAGTATCTGGATAAACTTATGGCTTCAGACCAACAATAAGTGATCAAGTAAAGAGATGGAAACCAAGCATTTGACCTGCACTGCAAAAACACAAAAGTAGCTTTGGTCTCGCTTCTAGTGCAACTATCTGAGTATGCTGGAAATGAGAGAAAACTAACTTAAAGTAACTTTACAAGTAATTTTCCAATAAGAGAAATAATCTGCCACTTTTTCACCAGTACTAAATAATTATTTTCTTAAAACAAGTTCATTTTTATTGTTGTACTTGTAAGTTAGTTTTCTCTTATTTGCTCTAGAACCCAGACCAAACTTGCTTGGTAAGGTTTTGTACTTTTGCAGTGCAGCTAAAGTTTAACCAGCGACCCGTCTTATCAGCTCTGATGTTTTCTTGTATAAACTGGAACTTCCTGGTCACTGTAAGTAGTTTTGGAGCCGAACTTGTTTCTGATGTTCTGTCTTTGTTTTGTTCTCAGATTGTTCTTCATGACCACGACAGATCCAGGATCAGCTCTGTGACTAAAGACAAGTCGGACCCCCGAGCGCTGGCCTACATCTACAGACACGAAGACGCGTACATCCTGTTCTACATCAAGGCGGGACACCAGGTGACGCCTCGCAGCCCTGCAGAGGATCATGTGACCAAGTCTCATCGCTCTGGAAGATTTACACACTTTGCCACAAAACCATGATGTCGTTTGAAGGAGCATAAGCAATAAGATCATATGAAATAGTTTCACTCGTTTAAATATTTCAATTGACAATTCCAGTGTCTGTAGTTAATTATAACTAATAGCATTTTAATTGACAAAATAAGTAAAATTTTCAATTCAAAGACCTCTTTTTTCTGCTAAATTATTGAATAAATAGATATAATATAATATATTTGAATTAATTATATTTAGTGATTGACTTCTTTCAGTTTGTAATTGAGTTTATTGCAAGATCTGTAATTCAATTTTAAACAAAAACTTAATATCAACAAAAAAGCACAATTCCAATTCAAAGACCAATTTCTGCTAATTCTTTTTAAATAAATAGACATATAAAGTCAACAACAAAGATATTTATTATTTTTAATCTTTTATTTACCAATTAGGGCTCCGGCTCCAGTTTTACGCTGAGTTGTTGCAAATTATCCTTGATTTTCGTACTTGAACCATATCATTTATCATGTATTATATAATCTATTTGAAATAATTATATGGGACATAATTACTTTTTTAATTGGGTTAATTGCAGGGTGTGTAACTAATTAATAAAATTTAAAACAAAAACTGTATATCTACAAACAGAAATCGGTTAAAAGACGAAGTAGGCTTGGAATAATTGGAATAATCGGAATGGGGTCGTGAAAAGGTCAGAATGAGTCGCATGTGGGGAAAAGAAGAGATCTTGTTTTGGGTTGTGATTTTATCTACTTTATCGGTTGCAGGCGGATCCAATAATTTTGGACATCATGGAGGTTTGTCGGTGTGTGGAGCAACAGGAGGCTCCTCAGCAACACCAGCCTACGGCAAGCCAAGTCAGACATAATACAGTTTACATCCGTTATCAGTCTGTTTCTGGTTGTTCGCTTATTACCGGGATCTCTTTGTTGTTTTCAGAATATTTCTTTAGTGACTCTGACTGACAGTCTGGCTTCTCCAGAGACGGTAAATAAGCGTTTTCAGAATTATAGTAAATGATTAATCTACCGATTAGTAGAGCCTTTTTGTATACAATATTAGAAATATATTAAAAGATTCAAATGGCAATTAATTCAATTACTTTTTAAAAATAAAAGCATAAAAATGTTATTTCCAGAAATGCAAGGACAGCATTCCTTTAGCGAACGCTGATTATTTGTAGCAAAGGATGAAACTGCAGCTGAAAAACACCGTCTACTAATATATTGATTAATAAAAAGTTTTGTTTTAGTTTGTTTTATGGAAACCAGGTAAAGCTAAAAATGACAATTAAGGATTTCTGGTTATATTTAAAGATAAAGAAGATTTTTCATCTTAAATGCAAAACGTACATATTTTTGTACAGTTTTGGTTTAATTACTGCTGTATGTTGCAAATGGCATTTATTTGAGTCTATTCTACAGTTGATGATTAATCGATTACTAAATTAGTTGTCGACTATTTCAACAATCGATTAATCGTGATTGATTCGATTAATCGCTTCAGCCTCTTTTGTTTCAGGGAGCAGCTCTGGAGAATGTGTTTAGTCCTCCACCTCAGTCATCATCAGGACAAATAAAGCAGGTGCATAAAACACAAAACACATGATGTGACGTTCAGGGAATCGGCAACAGAAGCAAAAAAAACAACAACAAAAAAACACTTTTAACAAAAACAAAAAAAATTATTATGATTTTTTTCTGGGTTTTGGATTTTTTGCATAAATAAAAAATCTCTATGAACTGAGAAACTATCAGCTAACTGTTTGTCAGAGTAACATCTTATATGTGCAGTGAGAATAGATCACATCCTGCCTCATATTAAATAACACAAACTGTTTTTTCTTGTTTTTCTGTCAGCAGACGTCTTCCAGTAATGAACTGTTGGAGATATTTTCTCCGCCCCTGACAGATCCTCTGCCTCCCAACAACATCCCACCTGTCAGCCAGCCAGGTGAGTCAGAACCCAGGGTGTCCAACCTGTGGCCCAGGGGCCTTTTGTAGCCCTTGGAACAATTTTGTGTGGCCCCCACCTGCAGTTGAATAATGGTACAAATTTGGCCCTCAAGTATAAACTTTAGTTTTTTAGGATGGGAATTTCAGTTACACATTTAATTGAAATTTTCTTTAACAGAAAGTGTTAGGCACACAGTATTTTCATGTTGTATTTTAATTTCATGGCAAGTAAATTAAAAATTTTGACTCAAAAGAAAAACTAGAGCACATCAATAAAAATGGTTAATAGATGAAAGTTCTTATTTTGTTGCTGATTAAAACATTTTCTAGATCAAATAAGGTGAATTCCAAAATTAACCAAAAGGTTCGGAAACTGTCACCTTTTTATGAAGACAAAAATATATATACAAAAAAATAGCCACTTTGTTTCATTAAATTAAAGTCTGATTTTTTTCAGTGCCCTTTTCCTGAGTACTGAGCCCATTAAAAAAAATAATAATAATTTTGTGTTTTCAGTTGGAGAAACAAAATGGCCCCAGAGTCGTTTCCACTTTGGGATTCTGGTGTAAAAAGTTTAGAAAAAATCTGCCTTGACCTGTTTATGTAAAGGTAGCAGAGACTCATGCTGCAGGTGTAAAAATGTTTTAATTTTATGTGTCCGTGTGTTAAAGTCGACATATTATGGTCGGTGGAGACTTTGGATTAAAAATCACTGAAGTCGACCCAACAGAGCAGCAGGACGGATGGGATGTCGTCCTTTAACGTGAGGCGATTATTCGCCAAAGAGAAGAAACGCAGCAGCGGTTTTATTTAACCAAGACCTGGCAGAGCATAAAACAAAGTCCAGGGAGATTACATAAAGCTGCACAAAGAAACCCAGGAGTTTACAAACCAGTCAAGAACAAAAATGTTTTTAGAAAACCTGAAGACATTTCTGAGGATTCAAATCACTCAGATTTGATCTGTTTGACATTCTGTAAGATTAATAAACACAAGCTGTTGCTACTTCTCTGTTAATGACAAAAAACCTTTAAACTGACAAAAGTAATGATAAATAAAAATTTACTGAAAATGAACCAATGAAAATCAGACATTGTTTTTAAATGTGGTTCAACAGAATCATTGCAAAAAGGAAACGGGACAAAAATATCGGCCTGCTAAGCTGAAGTTTGTCCTGTAATTAGCTTTGTGCAGCGAGTGCGGAAAGTATTCAGACCCTTTAAACTTTCACTCTTTGTTTCACTGCAGCCGTTTGCTGCAGTGAAACAAAGTTAAGATTATTTCCCAACTTTATTAAGAATGTACGCTCAGCACCCCATCTTGACAGAAAATACCTGAAATGTAGAAATTTTAGCAAATTTATTAAAAAAGAAAAACTGAAATATCACATGGGGATGAAATGGCTCTATGTAGATGATACGGCGTTCAAAAGTCATGGTTAATGTAATTTTGGTTAATTTAATTTTCTGTGGCATCAATAAAGCATTTTTGAAATTGTATTTGAGCTACTTATGACCAGAGTTGGTGAGATTAGCCTCAAGCTAATGTTTATGTATGTAACGTTGAAAACAGTGAACTTTGACATGAGGAATAAGTGACATCTTCTTAATAATGAGTAAATTAATTAAATCTAAACAAAAATCACAGCTTCAGTCAGACGTAAATTAACAATTTGTAATAAAATGTCCTGGTAATTTAATCTGCCTTTCCATCCATTTCACTGCTTGATTCATCTATTCCAATAATCCCAGTGGAGGGGCTTTGTGGTGGTCTTTCACTGAACTTAATCTGATATAGTTTAGTTTGAGCGTCACTTCCCTAAATTATATTTAGTTTTACCACATTGTATTAAACAGCAGCAATAAGGAAGTGCCATCAGATGATGATGATGATGATGAAGAAGTGAGAAATGTGGCTCTGACTAACTGCGTTTCCAATAACCTGAAACTTTTGGTTTAAGAAGCGGAGAATGATAAACGTCTGATTTTACATTTTTCTCTCAAATTTCCAGTTTAAAACACTTTTTTAATCCCAAAGGGAAATTAAATGTTAAAACGTGTCATTTCTTTGAAACTGTTGTATAAAAGATGACTACTTGATCAGTAATGCCTGTCCTCCTGTCTGTCTGGGGTCTCCATGGCAACGCACTGTAGCACAGCAACAGCACCTTCCAGAACATTCCGAACATTAACAGCAGCCATTTACTGTCACTTCTGACGGTTTGTCTCTTTAAACTACCAGTACAGGAGCTGCTGTGAAATATCTTTGTCTGAACGTCGTCCCTTTGTGTTTTGAAAGCGTAAAATGCAGAGATGTATTGTTATTATTAGCTTGTTATGCTAGTTGTAGGTAGCGTCACACAAGAGGTGAACCTGGAGTAAGAATGCACCGAGTTCAAGTTTGACAAATTCACAAATTCAATTTCAGAAAAGCTCTGTTGATCTTACCAGCATTGTAATTCATATTAATTCAAATTGAATGTAGCCTAAGAGCTAATCCACATGTAGCTGAATATCTGGGAAAATTAATACATTTTTATGCATATTGACCTTTAATTCTACTAAAAGGTCAGACCAAAGTGGAGATTTGAGAAAACTCCACATTTAGGTTTACATGTGAGGAAACTTGAGATTTGGGTCCCGATCGTCGCAGCTTGCAACAAATAATATGCCAGTATATCCACATACTTGTTATTCCCAATCGACATCGTCTTGTATTTTTTAAATTTTATATTCTAATATGGTGTTTTAAACTAGTTTAACCCACACAGATGAACTTCGTGGCACCATATTTAACTCCTACCAGGAAGTTGTGGTTGTTTTGAAGCAGTCTGATTGGCTGACAGAGGTTTTAGCTTTGCTCTACACTGCCCCCTATGGGTTTGGCATATTTACTACAATGCTCTCAGCTGTATTTGTGTAGATTCATGTAAATGAAAACATTTCTGAAATCTATCCCGTTTATACAATACTTTTTGAACGATTTGAAGGAATCTCAGCTGGTCAGTATTTGACTCTAAGCACACAACATCACATGTAACTTGTAACACGTTTCCCTTATCTCCTTCAAAATAAGACAAAAAGAACCACTTTTACTTTTTCTGTTAAGAAGAGCAGCTTCTGTAAACTTTCTTATCTCGACACACTATTTTATAAATGGAGAAATAAAACAATAAAGCAAGTTTATTTTGGCAAGAAATATCATTATGAAGTAAAGTTGTAACTAATTCTTATTTTTGCTGGTATAACTCAAATATTTAATCATTTTGCATTTCAAATGTTACCAATGAAATTTTATATCAGCAGTCTAAATGCCAAATAATGTTTTATTCTCTGTAATTATTGTCTGTTTTTACAGATTTCAATTGTTCCTCATTTGTCTTTACTGCAGTTAAATCTGCTTTGCGTTGACTTTTACCAATATTAACTGGTTAATGTGAATTTGTGAAGTACTCAAAAGATTAAGTAACATTTTAAAAAAAATATTAGGTGTTCAGTTCAGACTAAATTGGTTTAGCACCCATGTTTGTAAAAGCCTTTTTTATTTTAACTGTCTGACTTGTTTAAGTCTGCAGAACGTCACTGCCACGAGCTGCATTAGATGTAACACGTTGGCACAGAGGAAACATTTTTCCAAATACTTCACCACACCATTTAAAAATAGCCCTGATACACAGTCTAATTTCTTTATTTTCTTTAATCTGCTCCAGTAATGTCAAACAGGAATGCTGCTTTTAGAAAAACAACCTCGCTATATAAAATGAAAAGCAGAGTGTGTTTATCATGCTGGCTGCTTCATGTCGGCTGTTTTGACTCAAACACAGGAGGAAACACAGGTTAGCATCTACTGCATTAGTTTAAATACAAACAATGGGATTATTTATAGTTATAGATTAGTGTGTTAGAAACGATCATCATTTATGAGCTTCAGCAAAAACAGAATCGGTGGATGAATAACGGGGAACTTTCTCCTCAGATCATTAAAGAGGCAACGCAGCAACAACCAGAAATTATACACAGTGAGAATATCACTGCTTCAGCATATATTTAGTCAAGTAACAGAAGAAATGCTTCATAATAAAATTACTCAAGTGACAGTAAAGAGAACTGCACAGTAAAAATAATCCTAAAAGTTACTCAAGTAAATGTAACTAGTTGTGTGAATCTTAATCTTATTTTCCGTTGCTGGGCAGCTGGACCGTCAGTCGCGTCGCTAAAGAAATATTTACAAACTTATTTCATTTACCAATAAATGCTCAGGATTTTGTTACCAAAGTGTTTGTTTTCAGCGGTTTTGCAGAGTAACATTTAGATATTTTCTTCTCCGTCAGAGTCTCCACATCCCGTCCTCTCCACCGCCCAGATCCTCTCCATGTTCCCCACCCAGCCACCAGGGGGCTCTCCGTACATCTCCCCACCAGTGTCTCCCAGTTCAATGCCCTGGAATCTGCAGGGGCTTACTGGAAACCAGTGGCCCTCGATCCCACCCGGGTCCCCGATCCCACCCGGGTCTCCGTTCCCAGCCGGGCCCTCGGTCCCAGCCGGGCCCTCGGTCTTACCCGGGTCCCCATTCCCAGCCGGGCCCTCGGTCCCAGCCGGGTCCCCGGTCCCACCCGGGTCCCCATTCCCACCCGGGTCCCCATTCCCAGCCGGGTCTCCGTTCCCAGCCGGGCCCTCGGTCCCAGCCGGGCCCTCGGTCCCAGCCGGGCCCTCGATCCCAGCCGGGTCCCCGTTCCCAGCCGGGCCCCTGGCTGCGGTTACAGCGCCCCCTGCTGCTGTGCTGCCTCCACCCGGGTTCATGATGACGGTGAACCCGGCCGCGCCGCCGTTAGTGAACGGATACCAGAACGCCCCACACCCCGCGTACCCCCCTGCTCTGGACAACAACCCACTGCTCTGATGAACCAGCGAGGACTGGAACGGCTGAATTTATGTCTCCAAATATTTAGCTTGATTAATAATGGAGACGATTCAACACTTTAATGAACTACTACTAAATTAACACTTTCCATCTGGAAAACACAATTCCTTATAAAAAAGTTAACTGAAAGTTATCAGAAAATGATTAATCTGTGATATAGAGATCATTTAATGCAAACCACATCTTGTATTCTACTTATTTTCTGTTTTTGCTGATTTTAAAACTCTTTATCACTGATATGTTTTTTCTTTAAATTCAGGATCAGAAAATGTTCTGTTTTGTGTTTAAAAAAATAAATTATGCCTGAGAAAACAGAGTTTTTCTGCTGTATCTTTAATTTATGATTCTTTTCTACTGCCAAGCTTTGGCAGTTCCAAAAATACAAGAGCTGCAACTAATTATTCAGACAATTAATCAATTATGATAACAAATAATTGGGATAGAAACTTTGCACTAAACTGTGCCTTCTGAGGAGTTCTGGGCAGAACATTAATGAACAAAAAAGGGGTTTTGGATCTAGAATGCCAGAAGTTTTGTAAATGTTTGGGTCAGTTACTGCTGTCAATTAGTCAACAACTAAATTAGCTGATTGTGATTTAAATAATGGCAGCCACAGCGCTAATAATACACTAACATATAGTACCTTTCATATTGTTTACTTCTCTGAGTAGTTTGCTTTTTTAGCAAATGGCATTTTTTCAGGCTGTACCAGTTAATGATTAATCAACGACTAAATTAGTTGACCGTTATTTCAATTCATTATGATGAAAGCGATTAATCGTTTCATCGCTAATAAATACAGAGTAAAATGAACCATTTTCTCGACTTCAGCGTTTGGTTTGAGTGACTGCGTGTTGTAGGGGAGGAAAGAAACCCCCCGGCTGACATCATGTGGTGTCGCTTGCAGACAGCTGCCCACGCTGAGCAGAGCATTTCCTCATCCACTGTAAGTTTAGTCACTCAGGTCATATGGCTGTTTGAGCAGCAGGAGCATCGGCCGGGATAACAAGGAATTACTGCCGGACATGGATCGCGTCATACACTAAGAAGTCAACCCAGAAGACAAAATGGTGAGAAACTCATTTTTAGCGGTATATTTTTAAAACTCCAACCACTCTGTTGGTTAATCCAGAGTTACACCTTTGACTCTTCTCTGGTCACTTCCTCCGCCACTCAGGGCTAATTTTAGTTTAAAGATGAGGATATTCTCGCGTCTGTGTTGGTTTAACCTCGGTTTCCTTCTTTGAACTAAGAAAGCAGCTCCATAAAAGTTGTGTATGTTTTCCAGACTATTAAAAAAGGAAGTTTGAGGTTTTAAAAAAGGAGAAATGTCCACGCTGCAGCTGATGAATGGAAGCCTTTATTAAACCGTTAGCACCGGTTAATTATTTACACACTGCTCTCCTTCTTCGCTCTGTTATCTGTTGACGTACAAAATATTCTGGATTTAAAATTTTACACGTTGATGACTTTTAATGCTTTATGAAACCAAGTCATCAGCTCTTAATTTTTTAAAATTACTTCTTTATGCCGCCTGCTGTTGTTCAAAGTATTTTCTGTCCTACTTATTTAGCTTTATTAAGAACTTACAACATTAAAGAAAAGCCTAATTTTAACACATCAAACATGTCGAAACCTTCCAGCTACATGCTAGTTTTCACCGCGATTGAGTCATTTTCTTTTTTTCCTTTTTTGTTGGTTGTTGCTCTGGTCTGTACATCTAATTTCTGTGCACTTTCTCTTTGCACCTGCACAGCTAAAGTCTGTGGTGAGGCCGTTGTCTGCACACACACACACACACACACACACACACACACACACACTTCCACCGGGTCCTTTTCTGCTCTCTCTCCCCGTCTGACTGAAAACGGTGCTTCGGGTGCATGCTCGTTTTGTGGTGCAGAAACCTTTTTTTAATGTTTCCTTTGTTCCCTGTGATTATAAAAGTCAGCGGCGCTGTATAAAGTCGGCAGCGAGCAGAGCTTGCAGCTTATTGGTGCAGAGGGGGCGTTCCCATGGCAACCGGCGCAGGATGCTGCCTGAGGTAGAGGCGTGCGGTTGCAGCACTTCCTGTTCTTCATCCTCCGTTCGACATTGGACAAAATATTGATCCTCTTCGTTTGATTCTTTGATAAACTTAATTATTGTTTGGAGCAAAGCTTTTTGTTGTTGAAATTCAATCAGATTTAAAATACTTTATTTACACGACAACTTTCAGATAAAATCTCGTTTTACAGAAATAAGAACAGCTGATAAAAACAATACGATTATTGGCTTAATTACTGTTTTGGTTTTCAGCAAACGGCCTTTTCTGAGTCTGAACGTTAATGATTAATTGACGACTAAATGTGTTGACCGTTATTTCAATACAATTATGATTAAACCGATTAATCATTTCAGCACTAATAAATACGCAAACGTTTAGCACCTTTCATGGATAAAATCACAAAATGCTTTACAGACACAGAATTAGGCAGAACAGCTGATGAAAGCAGTAAATTAGGGCTGCAGCTGTAATCAATTATTCTGACGATCAATTAAAAAATTGGCACACTGTGCCGATGTTTCATTTATTTCATACAATATTTGAAATACATTAAAATACACAAATACGAGTATTAAGAAGCAGTAAATAAAATACTATAGCCTGAAATGCACCAGCAGCATTCCTTGAGTGAATCTCTGAGTTAAGACCAAAATAAATTCTGACTATTGATAAATAATTGGATATAAAGGCGCACAATAGGAGATGCTTCTAACTTTAAAGCAAGTTAGAAGAGCTTGTTTTAGCTCAATAATGGTTTAACATTGATGAAAAAATGTTTATTTCATTGGCAGACTTTCACTTCTGACATGGGAAAAACGTTCAAGTGAAATAATCTGGAAGTAAATGTTGTGTAAACAAAAGCTATAAAAAGATGGATTGTAACTTTGGGGGGAAATGATGCATGACAAAAATGAAATATTTAAATTATGATTGTTGTATTCTTGTTATCTGATTGTTGTGGATCCTGTCACAGGCTGGAAAACCACATCAACACATGCAAATAAGGCGTGTAAAAACTAATTATACAGAGACATAATTAATGGATGTGTTCATTCATGATCACATTAGAACACAAACATGTGAGGAAAGTGTTTTATTTTTGTTTTCAAACGAGTCTTTTTGTCAGAACCACATGCTTCTGTTTTATACAGATCTTAAAAGGGCTGCGCTGCGTTGGGGAAAACGTTTCCAGCCTCAAAGTCGACGCCACAGACACACAGAGACACGCAGTCATTAACGTACTGACTAAAGATGTGACCCTGTGGGTGCAAGCTGCAGATGAAGCTAGGTTATTACAGTTAACTAGAGCAACAACAAAAACAAAGCAACCTGCACTTTTTAAAAATGTTTTTTGTTTTAGATGAGGGTCCCAACTGCTTCTAAAAATGTACTTAAAAAATCTACCCAGCTGTTTTTTTGGCAACAAGTTAATGATTTTGGTGTCTGGAAATAAAACCGTTTCAAAAATAGAAGGGCCACTGCAGTTACCTAGCAACCCCGGTGGAGCCCAGCCCCGTTACCTAGCAACCCAGGTAGAGCCCAGCCCAGTTACCTAGCAACCCAGGTAGAGCCCAGCCCCGTTACCTAGCAACCCAGGTGGAACTCCAGAAGGTTTGGTCAGCTGGTTTTACCGCTTTATGCTGTGGGAAAAGGCAAAGTGTTCTGTAGTTGACATCTAGGTTATCATAGTTAACTAACATTTATGAAATAGTAAAAACTGAAATGGAGAAAACATTTTGGTTAGCTGAAATAAATAAGAACTATGTTGTGTTTATAAAATGAACTAAAACACTAAAATTATAGATATAAAATCCTTCACTTCTGTGTTTATGAATCCATTGATTAGCATTTTGAACTGCAGATTTTGTGTTTTTACAGTGTATAAATAAACTTTTACTTTCTTCTCTTTATTTTTAAAACAGACATCTTTACCTTTGTCTGTAAAAGTGTTTCACTGCAAAAACACAAAGTTTTACAAAGTACTTCTGGTTTTGTTTCTGGTTAAAATATTTTAGAAAGCTTAAAATAGGAGGAAACTCACTTGGAAGAAATATGAGCTTGTTTTAAATCCTTTCTTAATATTGATGAAAAATACTAGTTCAACTGGCAGATTGTTTCTCTTAAAACAAAACATTTGTCCCAATTTATCCTCGATCTAAAGGAAATCAGTGTTTTTGCTGTTTTGTAGTTTTCAAGTTAGATCCAGATTTGTGGTGTCTAGAAGCTGAATGCAACTTCTCCATGTTTGATCTTTAATGGCTCGTGTTGCAGAGCCGATCAGCGATTTATAAACTAACAACTGGATTTTAAAGTTCATCCTCTGAGCTACAGGGAGGCTTTTCCCACTTATTACGTCTCAGTTGGATAAATAAAGGCGTCTGCAGACGGGCAGAGATCTGGTTTCAGTGGAGGGATGACGGGATTATCTGGGATTATAGAAACACATCGTACATCTGCAGTTTTCTCTGTTTCAGCTGCTCAAAAGTCTCAGAAACAATCAGAGAGGTTTGGAGCTTCTCAGGAGGATTTTCATTATTATTATGTTTCTCTGAGGTGGCCTCTTTTAACTGAACATAAATGTAGGTCAGCGGTGGATGCATACAGTGTTACCCCCAGTTTTAGCCATAATCCTCGGTTTTCACACAGTTTTGTTCAAACTGTTGAGTTTTCTTTGTTCAACCAATCTGAATGTCCAATGAAACTGATGTGAGCTCATGTCTAGGTTAAAATAATCATTTCAGTGGTTATCTCATCTGACACACACTCCACTCTAACGCTCCTGATTCTCGTGTACGGAAGACCAAGACTGGCAAAAAGTGTGAAATTTCACATCTTTCACACGTTGACAAACTAATGTGGCACGCTTTTAGACTCTTGACTCCAGAGAGACGCATAAATACCCAACATAACAGTTGTGTGTTTAAATACATTGAGTTTATTTTATCTGCATATGGATAAATCACATTAATTTACCTGTGAATTCAGGTAAAGTCAGTAGATCCCTGGACTTTTTCGTGCTACAATCCCCAGTCTTTGTTCAAATGGATATGTGAAGCGGACAGGAAGTGGACTGCAGCGCAGGGCATTCTGGGTAAATACAACCAAAATAAAAGTGCCAGTCTAGGTGCTCATGGTCTTTTAGCAAAGACAAAAAAACTGGTAAAATCTGACACCAATAAATTTTGGTTTACATGAAATGTTTTCATCAGAATAAAGAAACGCCACAATTTAAAAACTAAACAGGGTGAATATAATTTACAGGCTTGTTCACTGCAAGAAACACCAAATCTAGTCCATTTATGTTGGTACACTTAAGTTACTTTAAGTTTTTTATTTTATCAGCAAGGAGCTTTTTAAAGTCAATAATTCTTTAATATTGATGAAAAAGTTCGACTAGCAGATTATTTCTTTTCTAATCTGGGAAAAATGTCTGACAATGAAACTTTAACATTTTCATCTATATAAAGGAATTACTGACTTAAAATAAACTTCTAAAAAGTTGCTTCTAATATAGTTTTGTCTTATTCCAGGTGTACTAAGATATTTGCTCTGGAAACTAGACATAAATTCCTTGGTGATATTTCATGTTCTTGCAGTGAAACCTGAATAAAGTGATTCCTTCTTGGGATTTATTGCTTCCTTGCAGTTCAGAGAACACTCACAGGTTTCTTGCTCTGCAAAGAGAGTTATCACCTCTGAGAGAATCAAACCAGGAAGCGGAGACGCTGCACCTTGTGAAAGCTTAGCGTGGGAGTTTGCAGAATGAGTTTGTGTGTGGGGGTTATGCCCTGCTCCGTGCTGCGCTGCTGACTTCCTGCTGCAGACGCAGAGCAGCAGATCAACTGGTGTTTTCTCTGCAGGAGGACAGCGTTGACGTGAAGGCTCTGCGGGCCCGCTTCAACAGCCAGGCCCGGGCCTCCGACACCAGCAGCCGGGACAGCGGCTCGCCCAAATCTCCACGGCCGGGGTTTGGGAGGCCGGAGAACGACAAAATATCAGCAGCAATTCCTCTGCGACCTTACCAAGGCCTGGCGAGGCCTCCGAAGGAAGAGTCACCCCCACCTGTTGCTGCTTCTTTCCAACGACCTTCGAACCGGGCGCCCGTTCAGTCCGGAGACGCCACCAACAAGGTGAAGCAGACCGGAGAGATGCTGCAGAAGATGATGCTGACGCACCAGAGGGCCCCGGGGCCGTTGCCGTCTCCGGCCAGGTCTCCGGTCCTGGGTCCGTCTCCGGCCACCACGCCGCTGCTGCTGCGCCATCAGGCACGGCAGAAGAGCTCCGGGGAGGTGACCCCGCTCCGCAGGCCGCTGCCCCCCGAGGGCCCGCTGCCCCTGAAGCCCAAACGGCCCCCGAACGTCAACCTGGAGCCGTTCAGGAAGAGCCGGAGAGCAGGAGGCGGCGCCCAGAGCGACCAGAGGAGATGTGAGTTCAGAATAATAAGGTTTATTTACTGTTTCTGTCATTGTTTTACTTTTCCACACAGAAGTCAAAGAGAAAAGCACAACACTGAAAAACAAAACAGTTTGATTCAATAAATATAATTTTTGCTTAAATATTCACACAAAAGTGAAGAAAATAGTTAAATGCATGAAACCAGGTCTGTCACCATCAATCACATAATTAATGGTAATGAGGTCATTAATTTTTATATTTTATCTTCAAACTTAATAATTATTCCAGTTTTTGTTTTTTATTTCTATTTCATTTATTTTAGTTTTTTTCCTTTGGTTGTTTTTTTGTTGTTGTTATTTTTTGTGTTATTTAAAATATTTTCCAGCTCCAGTGTGAAGTTTTTGATGCAAAATTAAAGTTTATCTTTGAGAGACACAGACTTGCATTATTATGCAAATATCAATATGAAAAATCACCAAAAAAAATCACAAAAAAACGCCACGATTTCAGGAAGCGACGATATGTGACTAAAAAATAGTCTCACAACACAATATTATCGTTTATCGCCATAATTCCTACAATTTATTGTCCAGCAAACAATGTTATTGTGACAGGCCAACATGGCAGCAGAGGTGGGTGCACTGTAAAAACACAAAATCTTACCACAAGAAACTAGACCAACTTGGTAAGATTTTGTGTTTTTACAGTGTAACTAGGGTGAGAAAAGCTCTTCACTGCAAAAAGACAAAATCTTACCAAGTATTTTTATATCTTAGCCCATTTGAAATAAGACAAAACTAACGGACAAACAACTTTTCAGCGAGATACAGGAGGAGTTTGTTTAAAGTCAATAATTCCTTAATTTTCATTTAAAAATCTACTAGATTATTTCACTTATAACAAGAAAATGGATAAGTTAAATAATCTTCATAAATCTACATTAAAGAATTATTGACTTAAAACAAGCCGAATATTTACTTGTAAGTTAGTTTTGTTTTTTAAAGTGTTACAAGACCAGAAAATGGACCAAAATTACTTGGTAAGATTTTAGTTTTTTTGCAGCGAGTTCATTTTTAAATATCAATCTGTAAGTTTTGAGACAAACTGAACAGTATTTCAAAACAAACTGAATTATTTTTCACATTTTCTGCGGTCCAGACTCGACGGATGTAAGGATGCCGGTTCCAGCGGTGATGAGTCCGCCCATCCCGCCACAGCGATCCAGCAAACCCAGCAAGCTGCCGCGGCAGATCGCCTCCGTGTGAGAACCCGACTTTTTACAGTGCATTCAGCTTTCAGAACCATTTTTATTCATGTAACGCATGAAATACATTAATATAATCAAATAAAGTGCAGAAAACTCTTAATGTTAGGAAACAGCATTAAACCATCAGCGCCGTTTCCGGGGTAAAACACGATTAAGGCTTTCAAACCAAATCTTATGAAGCGTGATTAGAAGATAAATAATGAAAGAGATGCGTTCGCTGCTGACAGGAAATCTGAGACTCTTCATTTTTGAAGGTTTTTTTTTAGATCTAGATCAGAAAATATTAAAGTCTGACGATTGTTACTGAGAAACAAAGCCTTTGTTTTCTTTTTAACTCTAGTTTGTGTTTTAGGATGAAAACAGGAAATTTAAAAAAGATTCTAAACATATTTGATGATAAATTTAGCTGTTTTTTTCTCTCGTCACTTTCACTTTCTTCTGATTCGGCTTTGTTTTGATTCATCATTAAAGTTTAATTTTTACACATTTAATTCCTGATTTCAGAGACTTTGAAGATGAACAGGAGACCTATGACGACATTGGAAGTTTTGAAAAGAACGGTGCGCTGAATACTTTAGAAAATCGTCTAACAATAAACACATCATTTACGTCTCAACACCAAATTAACATAAGTTTGCTTTGTGTCTTTGCAGAATCCTACAGCGATAATAATTCCCACTGCATGGATGCAGTAAGTACAGGTTCTTAAAACTGTTAAAAATGTAAACTTTTTGGTGTGAAATCCTTTTAAAATATATTTTCCTGCATAATAAACAAGTAAATAAAGAGACATAAACAGTATGCAGACTTTTAACCCAATACTTGATTTAAATCAGATTGGATCCGATTAACATGACTTCAGTTTTCATTGCATGAATTTCCTAATATTTAATAATTAGCATATTTTAGGTTTCAGTTCATTAAATCATGTCGATACTTATTATTTATGTGCGTTTTCCTTAAATACACAAAGTGCAAAAGTTTAAGAGCAAATCAAAATAAAACATTTTTTGAGGTAGAGTTAAGAAACTATGATGCAAAAATAAAATTATATTTCAAGAGGGAATTGAAATTAAGGACTTGGAATCGATTTTATTAGCAGCCACGACTTTTCCACTAAACTGCCGTTAAAAATGAGACTTGTCAGCGATTTCTCAGACCAAAACAAGAAAATGCAGAAATGTAGTTGAGAATTACACGAAACGAATAAAGAAATAGGAGTTTCAGTTTGACTGACGATCATCTTTATCTACTAACCTAAAACTCCTTCCTGTTTTAAAAGTAGAAATTAAACCATTTTTTCTTGCAGGATGATGATGATGATGACGATGATGATGTGTATGAGTTTATTGATGAGTAAGTATAAACTTCCTGTCTCTGCAATGTTTTTTTAATCTCTGTAATGCCCAAAAGTAGACTGTAGTTACAGCTGCCTGAGCCTCAGAGCCTTTTGTCACTAAACTTATTTATATCATCTGCGGCTTCAACAGATGAAGCTCTATCTTTATATCGCTTACACTCTTATTTAAGAAGTACATTCTAAATTAACTTAAAAAGCAACATCGTCCGGTACGTTGTAAAGCACAATTTTAACATAAAGGCAGACAACAGTAAACCATGCTTATGAAATTAATTTAAAAACTATTTTTTGGTCATTTTCAAGGGAACAAGTGTCGGCAAATCATTCAAGTCCTGAAAAAACCAACAAGATGGACGCGAGAAGACAGCAGGAACAAGAAATAAAGGATCAGCTGGAGCGTCAGAGGAAACAGGCGGAGCTGAAGAAAAACTTTCAGGTAAAGAGGAGAAACTGACGCTGCGTCACTGTTTTACTGGGGAAGTCCGACTTCCCAGTGGAAAAAAAATCAATTGGACCGCGTCTGACGTCAGACTTCCCTCTGGGAAACTGGGAGAAAATCCGATTGCTCAGGATTTGTAATGTGGATTTAGTGTTTCAATATGGCCGCTCCTCGCATCAGCAGTAAGATGAGGCGGAAACGTTTGTTTTACCGGATACACATGAAGGAGTGTGTCTACAGTTAATGTTACAAGCAGCGTCTGTAACTCTAAGATGGACAAATTAAAAGCGATGCTTGCTTATGGACAATAAAGCTTAAAATTATGTTTTAGAGGTGCTAAGGAATAATTTGTTGTTTTTTGACACAGTGCAGTGCAAAAGTAGATTTTTTTTCTTTTGTGTTATCTTGCAAAAGTATTGCATTCCTTCGCAATTAGCAAATACACCCTGATCTATTTTGTACAATCAGAGTGATAACAAATGTCAATTTACAAATACATAAAGAGCCTCAGTGAAAATGTGTTTATGCATTCTTAAATCTTTGGTGCAACAAGCTGATTGAAAATTGATTGATTATTGCATGCTTATGTTTGTTTGTGTAAGTTTGAGATGGGACTGCACATTAACCAGCATGCCAACAAAAAAGATGCAACCAAAACTGTCAGATGGGTCTATTGTATCATAAAAATAACTGAAAAGCAGTTGGAATGTATTTTTCTTTCTTTTCTTCTAATGGAAAGTTTTTTATGTCTTAGAAGGAGTGTATAATCCATGTTTGACCCTTTTATGTTTTTGCATTTTGTCCATAATTTTCTGCAGTATTTGTATCTCACTTAAAAAGACTACAAAATTTTTTTTCCCACTACATGGAAAAACCTTTCAAAAAACAGAAAGACTAATAATTCAAGATGTCGCATGAGCTGACATTACTGCTCCGTATTACATAGAACTAGAGCAGCTGAAAAAGTAACAAATGCTGCAAGTTTGTGTGTAAAACACTGTAATTCACCAGAGTTTTGATCTGCTAAGCTTTGTTTCTGCTCTTCCCTCTGTAGCTACAAGGAGAGGAGACCGTTCTGCATACGGCCCGGGTTCGGGAGGACTGGCAGGCCGAAGGGAAGCTGGACCTCAGCGTTCGACAGGGAGACAGCGTGGAGATCATTCGCGTGGACAGTAACCCCAAGGGCAAATGGTTGGCCCGTTCACTCAGCGGACAATGTGAGTTCAGACTGAAACTCTGTGAAAAAACAAAAGTTTTAATGTTTTCCAATCCAAGTCTCTTTGCTTGATGAGGACAAGCAGAGACATTTTATTTTTGCAGTTTTTCTTTACCACTTTGTGAGATATTTTGCGTTATTTTTGCTGCTATGAGGAATGTTTTTGTACTGCTTTACAATGACTATAGAATACAGCAGTTTGTATGCAGATGACACTAAACTCTATTTGTTGGGTTATAAAAGTTTGGTAGAATTGCATCGCTGCTTGTTTGCCTTTGAGAGTTCATGAAGTTCTGCAGTGCAGCAAAGATAGAAAGCTGAGATGAACCTTAACCAACTCATAGGTTTCAGCTGCCGACTTTTATGGCGGCATGGAAGCTGGTGAACATGTTGGTTTCAGACAGGGTGGCGAACAAAAGGGTTACTGTGGTTACTGGTGTCTGCAGCAGTGTGCAAAAGTCTCAAGTGATCCATTATTTCTTTGTGCTTTTCTTCCAGGGCTTTTATGCAGCATTTTAAGTGGTGTAAACCTTCATTACTTACAAATGCAGCCAATAACGAAGTGGAAAGTTGCCAAAGAGTGATGAAGTTATATTTGGAAAACAACCGAAAACAAAAGTAATGATAGAAAATTCTCCAGCTTGAGTTTCAGACCTTCAAGTGAAGATTTGTGTGGTGGCTCAACCACTGAGAACGTTTTTTTAAAAATGGGATTTAAAAGCGCCCAGTCTGTCTGTCACTCACTGCTGTGATAAATGGTAGCATTGACAAAAAGTCTGGAAAATTGTGGTGGTAGTTTCGTAGATGTTGTGACTTCTGCTCCAGTTCTGACCAGCATTGTTACCATGGTGCGTCAAATGTGTCAACAGAATAGACAATTTTATTTATATTTTCAATTATTGAACCTTTATTTCACGAGGAAGTCACCACTGAGATTGTGAATCCCTTCTTCAAGTGAGACCTGTTGGTTATTAGTATGTATTCCTGCTAGCATGATCAGCTTTTTATTTGTGTTCGCTAAACCCCAACAATCCCTCAGTAGCTAGCTTACCCAGAATAATAGCATGTTGTTTGTCCTTAGAAAGTTACTCGAAGCAAATACTACACACAGGTTGGTTTGAAGGAAAGTTAAGCCAGATGCATTCATTCATTTGGCTCAAACACTAAGAATGGAGAGCAGATATGATGTTATTGTGGCTCATAATCCAGAAGGATTGTTTGGACAGAACTCAGATTAATTTAACTCCATCTGCTTACGCCAACAGATGTTTTGCATCGATAGCAAACAAATAAAAAGTCAGAACCATTGGACCATTTCTCATTTCTTACTTTGCAAACTTTATGCTCACAAACAACAGCAGCAGTTCTCTCTGCGGTCTGGCTGTTTACTCCTGCTCAAGCTACATGGACTAGCCATTGGATACAGAACATGCTATCGTCTTCCTTCAGGTTTGGATCGTTACTTCTGTTAAATCCAAGATTTGATCGTCCAATCGTGAAAAAGTGTGTTTGCATGATAAGATGTCCATCCATTTTCTTTGCACCCTTGTCCCTTCGTGGGGTCGGGAGGGTTGCTGCTGCCTCTCCAGCTAACGTTCCGGGCGTGAGGCGGGGTCACCCTGGACAGGTCGCTAGTCTGTTGCAGGGCAACACAGAGACAAACAACCATGCATACACACACTCACACCTAGGGGCAATTTGGAGGTTCCCAAACCCAGCCTCAGACCAGGCTGGGAATCGAACCCAGAACCTTCTTGCTGCAAGGCAAAAGCGCCACTGTGCAGCCCTATGATAAGATGTCCATCTGACTAAATAAAATTCATCCTTATACGGTCCTCACTTCCTGTTTTTAATAGGTTAAAGACTGACTGGTTTTGTGGCTCTAAAATATCATATCTGCCATTTAAGGTGGTTCTTAAATCTCTGAAGAATGTGTCATGCACTCACCAACCCACTGAAAAATAATATGTCTCATTTTTTTAATGGTTGCCAAAGTAATTAGAGGAAGTAAAAATTCTCTTTTACATTTTTTTCCTGGAATTTGCAGTGCAATAACTCTGCAGCAAACAATATTCATGAAATATGTTTCTTCCATCAGTTTTCTCCAACAGTGACTCGGTTCTTAAGAAATAAAATCCAACATTCTCAAAAAAAACAGCAAAGATAATGTTATGGATAAATACTGATCAGCGTTAAAGGTCACGGCTACCACGCTAACACCACGTTGTTTTTGTTTTTTGTTCCAGATGGATACATCAGCAACTCGTGTGTGGATATCGACTATGAAGCGGTTAAAAAATACAGGCTGCCACCGCTGAGAAAATTGGATACGTTCAATTTACCGCCGCCTCCGCCGGACCCGCCCATGATGCCGCACATGGAGTCCAACAGGTAACCAGACGGAGGACGGATTATTTTTAAAGATTCACATGTGAAGCTTCAGCTGCTTGCTTTAACAACTATCTGTTTTATCTTTGATTTGTAGCTTTCCTGAAGATGATGGTGAGTTTCATCATAACAACACAGACACCAGAGTTGGGTAGTAACTAGTTACAAAAGTGCTTTGAAAAACATTAACTTTTAGGAGTATTTTTACTATGCTGTACTTTTTACTTTTACTTGAGTAAAATTTCTGACAATCTGTAATTTTGTTAATTCAACTTTTGTTGAAAAATGTTAAACATTTCAGTATTTCCAGTGATTTTATGATCCGTTACCAGCTGCTTCATTTAGTTTACAATAAACCTTTTAAATTGCTGCAGATTTTCATGTTTTCCCCGTAATTCAGATTTTATTGTTTTCATATGTGAGGATGAGGTTTTCAGCCAGTGATTATATACGATCAGAGGGATTTTATTTTTTTTCCCAGTATCTGTCCTATTTAATGTGTAAAAGTTTATGCTTTTGCATGTTTTTGAACTGTTTTCATTAAATTAAACTAATAATTAATAATTAAACTAATAAGTTATATTATTTTTCTGCTCCTAGACGAATATGACGACGTTCAACCGCTGCCTGAGGATTTCCCTCCGCCTGAGGATTTCCCTCCACCTCCACCTGAGATCATGTAACCTTATTACGTCTTCACTTAGCACTCAGTCTGCCTGAAAAACATCACCATATAAACACTTCAGTCGATGTTGATAATTATTGATTCATTTTTTGTTTAAAATATCTGAAATACTACCAAAGTGGAGGCATGACCTTTCCTGTTTTGTCCAGTTTTCACTCCACACCATTAGTTTTTAGTTGTGAGC